TCAGAAGCAGAGGACAGTGTTTCATCACTAACGAGGTCGTGGAGACCAGCAATGGTACCCAATGGTCCATCTCGAACAGAAACCAGTTCTACAGCTCTCAAAAGGAACTTTTCTGCTTCTTTCTGTTCAAGTTCTGGATCAAAACTGCAGCGGGACAAGAAAATAGCAACGTCTCTTGCCATAATTGTCTGTGTGTTTACCATTTGCTGGGCCCCATACTCTTTATTAATGATTATCCATGGGTTTTGCCAAGGAAAGTGCATCCATAAGTCCCTCTATGAAGCAACGTTTTGGCTTTTGTGGATCAATTCCTCTTTGAATCCATTTCTTTACCCTCTCTGCCATATGAGGTTTCGAATGGCTTTTCTGAAAATATTATGTCCCAAAAAGTTTGCAGCATTGAGATCTGGTAACACGCCTTCTATTTAGCAAGGTAAAAGGAATGTCTTACAGATAAGGTTCCTCTGTCATTTAAGTGATACCTTTTCATATGTGTTGTTGGCATGAATAGAGAAAAAACCTCTTTGTTTACTAATGACATTGTCTAAGAGTGCAGCAGAGTTATGTAGTTGCCCCAATATTGCTAATTTTCAGGATCTCATTTTTGGTTTTGCTGGTATGATGCTAGATTAATTACCATCTAGTGGATTGAAAAGAATAATGAGCTTTGCTGAATGTTCTCTTGCTTTGTGGGTGTGAGGTATATTTTTTTCTTTCTTTTTTTTTCTTTCCTTTGTTTAATATATAGAGCTGGCACTGTGAAAGAACTCTGCTCTTGCTATTTTCATAGAGAGTCACTGGAGGGAGATACTTGTTCATGTATGCGTTGAATTAAAATTTATGTTCTATTTATGAATCTAAAGCTGTCAGTGAAGAAGTAATACTACTACATTTTTCAAAGATTGTAAAAATACTCACAGAAGCAGTATATTTTCATATCATAAACTATTATGAAGACAAGAGAGTGCCCTCTCCTTGTTAGAATCCCCACAGTGAGCAATATGCAAGTGAATGGAATGCCTAACCTGCCATATCTGTCTTTTTCAGGTTTTAATGTAGCTCATACCTGGCATTGCAGGACAAAGTACATGTAAGTTAGCAATTCTGAATGATTTTTAGAGAATGAAATTTTCCATGCTATGAGAATTTTGAGACTGGTTATCAAAAGTATCAGACGCAAATGGTTGTTAGTTTTTTCACCTATACCGGTTTTTCACCTGACATTGGCTGCCCCTTTGGTCATGCTTAAATGATATTTAGTGCCAGATTTGTGCACTATGTGATTGCCTAAAAGATAGGCCAGGCTTGGGCACATGATCACATTCCTGTTGAATTAGCAGAGCAAGCAATGCTAAGTTCATACTGGATTTTTGATTTTGGCTGGCTATGCAAGAATAGACAATAGCCTATCCGGTGTAAAGCTTTGCAAGTGCAAAGATATTCCATCAAAATGTCTGGAACAAATTTGATCTGACAGAGTGATTTTTTATACTAGATCAGTGCTTTATGTCCTGTTACTGTGACATTATATGGATTTTCTCTGCCACAGAACAAATATCAAACTTGATTTTTTCAATTAGGGAGCAAGGGCCGTATTCACTGCTTGAGAATGAGATTTACAGAGGTCTGGAAGCTGATACAGAGATGTTTTAAGCAGCTCTTAACAAACAAAGCAGTTGAATGTCCAGTGCTGAAAGGAGTGAGTAAATGTCTTGGAGGAAGCAATGGAGCTTGATTACACCCCATTCCATGTGCCAAACTTTCTTACCATGTGTTGAGTGTTGCAACTCACCCAGAAAGCTTTCATGGATGGGTAAGTGAGAGTCACTGGCTGCATTTTTCTCTCTCCTTTTGTGTAATTTTATTCCTCTTTGTTTATGTATGAAATATTGAAAGAGAAATCTGATGCACAGAACAATGAAGAGCAGTAGTCAATTTAAATGGTTTTTAATCTAATTTGAAATTTGCTGTAGAAGTGTTGCCATAACAGAGTACTCCTTTGCAAACACAATTCAAATGCATGGAAGCAGCTTAATGATAGCACAAAAGTTGATGGCTTTGAAGAGCTAGAATGTCTTTTTGTTCAGAGGTCTGGAACTGAAGGCTTCTCTTGCCAGTTTTCACGCTGCTGGAAGATTATCTTTCACCATTCATTCTCGATATGCTTCCTTGCCTCACATGGAGAGTGTTACGTATTGTGAGCATAATGGCTAGGAGAGGTGCAGCTTCAGGAGGAGGTCATTGATTCAGTACAGCTGTTTTTACTGTCATGAGCTGTGGTGCAGGCATAGATTTTGTGGGGTTTGCTTTTCTGTGATGCTTAAAAAAATCTAAACACACACATAGAGTTAAAACATTTATAGAAGAGCTCGTGTACTAAACATCTGTTAAATAGAGAAACTGAAGATGGGCCCAAGACAAAAATGTGTTTGTGTTGTCTGCATTCTATCCCCTATGCTTTTAGTATAAAAATTCAGTTTGCATTTTGTGCTAAAAGAATGTATTGTTCATTTTGGAAAAATAACCTAGAAAATTATTACCTAGATAAACTAGATAATCCACGTTTTTTCCAGCAGTGCTGGAAAGCTAGTTAGTCAGGGAATTTGCCAGGCAGCACAATCTGCAGTGAATTTGAAACAACATAGCATGGTGAAGCTACTAGAGATCAGTGTTTTTTGGAGTCTGTTTTACACACACACTATTCAAACTGTTTTCTCATGTCACTCCTGTGTATTAGATGCATTTGTTGTATTTTTCTAATTGTTGAAAATTTTGCTAATTTCTCCCAGGGTAAGTCAAGCACTGGGTTGCTGTGCCCACCACTTTAGGTCAGTGACATCATAAATATTCTCCCTTGTAAATTACAAATGAGACATTTTTCAAGGTTGTGGTATGATACTTATTCAGCATTTGTTCTTATGCCCCCATTCAAGTGGATGTTTCTTGACAAATGGTTTTCTAACCCAGATCTTTCTAACCAGTCACTCATCCATTTCACTATTTCATGTCCTTAAATTTTCTTCTGTCTTTGCAGATGTTCAGTAGGCCTTCTAAATAGATGGTGACAGTAGCTATATGGGCTTCAACGTTGTGGGCTTCAACTCAAACCACACCAGTTTTTTTCTAATCTGACCCTCTCATATTTAAAAGAAAAAAAAACACTCAACAAATAAAAATGCATGTTGGAAGAAATTGTGTTATCTTTTTTTTTGTTTATTTCTGAAACAAATATTGAATGCTAATGATTCTCCTAATGTCCATGTCCTTTATTTTCCAAAGGAAATACCACATAGATTTCCCCCTGAGTGCCACACAGAAGAACTATGATTAAAACTTCAACATTTGATTTATTCCCTAATTATAAAGGCAAATGACTACATTCCCCTTGTCCACTAATTCAGTAATTTTATCAAAGAAGACAACCAAGTTGCTCAGGCATGTTATACCCTTGGTAAGTCCATGCCAACTATCCCTAGTCACCTTCTCCTCCCCCAGGTCCTCAGAAACACCTTTCAAGGGGACTCACTCCATTATTTTCCCAAGGAGTAAAGACAATCTGACATCTTGTCTTTGTGGCAACATTTGAAAATCAGTTTTCTGATTTTCTTCTTTCTTCAGTGGTTGGGAATCTCCCTTTATGACCATTCTAAGAGGATAGAAATTGGCCTTGCAAAGGTAGTAGCTGGTTCTCTTCATAGCACAGTGGGTTCCATGGACTTTTATGGGTCAAGTCCCCTCAAGTAATCCTGTCTTATTCTCACCTGCTTGTGACAGTTCTCATCCTTGAACTCATTCACTAAGCATGGAAGAAAGGGAGACCTAGATAGTGATGAATGAAGCTAAGGAAGCATTGGGTACCTCAGCCTTATCTGCACCTGCTGTCACTGGATTACTGGTCCCATCCAACAAGCTACCCATATTTTTGTTATTCACCATTTTGCTCCTAATGGGGTGGCTGAAGTTCTCTGTGTTGTTTTTGATGTCCTTTACAAACATCAACTATAGGTGAGCTTTTGTTTTCCTAATATCATTCTTATGTTGCCAGACAACATTTCTAAATATCTCCTTTGTATTCTGTCCCTCCTTCAAACTCCTTCATGTTCTCTTTTCACATTGTAGTCTCCAGGGTTAGCTACTGTCATGATACATCTGCTTGCTTTCTTGAGAGCAGGGATGGACTATTCTTGTGCATGGACGTTGCTGTCTTTAGAGGCCTGCAGCTTCCTTGAGCTCCTTGTCTTTTGGATCTGCTCCCGTGGGATTCCCACTACCACTTTTCTAAACAGAAATCTGCTCACCTGAAGCCCATGGTCTGCACTGCTGCTCTCCTTCCTCATCCCCTTTAGGATCTTGAGTTCTACTACCTCATCATCACTACAGCTGAGTCTGGCACTGACAGCACATCCCCACACAGCCCCTCTTTACCACCGAGCAGGTGTTTCAGTTGTGCATCACCCCCATTAGCCCATGCAGGATTTGTGTCTGAAAGTTCCCCCTGACAGCCTCCAGGAACCCTGTTCACTGCTAGACCTGTTGTGTTGCACTTCCAGCAGATGCCATGAACACTGAAAGTCCTACATAAGAAGTGGGTTCTGTGGTCCAGAAGCTTTCTTGAATTGCTTCAAGAAGATTTCATCACCTCCCTCACCCTGAGCTCTGCAATGTGCTCTCACCATAATGTCACCCATGTCAAGCGTGGCTTGGTGGCTGCACAGGAAGATCTAGTACTTCCCCTTTGCTTCCCAGGCTGCAGCTGGGCACACACACCTAAGGCAGCTGTGTCTCGCTGCCACATTTTGCCATTCCTGAGGTCTCTTCTTTTTCTGTCATGCTACACCTTTTGCTTTAATGGCTCTTTACAACATAATTCCCTCTGTTCCTCAATAAGGTAGCAGAGCACTGCATCTTTCCTCCCCACATTTTGCCCACTCTCTCTTTCCTTGTTCCTTGCCCTATATCTTCCCAAGTACCTGGCATTATGGCTGCAGTTTGAAATGCTGGTCACTCAGTGTGCTGTGGTGCTACAGTGTCAGTGAGTGTCAGCCACAGCCATGGACTACCAAATTCTGTGCACTCCCACCAAAATAAATGGAGTTGTGATGAGGAAGGCATATCTTTTCTCACACCGGAAAAGGGCTAAAGGCTTGGTACCTCATGGAGTTAAAGCTTGTCAAGGATTACTTGAAAGGTGCAGGATTAGATGGGCTACACCATAAAGACCTCCAAAGTCCAAGTATTTGGTTTATTCTGCCCAGAACTTCTGGTTAGGGTGAGCTGAAGAGGTATTGGTGATGCTTCTGCTGCATGGAACTGTATTACAAATGCTCTGTAAACAGCAACACTAAGAGATATCTCTCTGTTGTTAACTGTAAGATTTAAAAAACAGTGTAGCAACAAGTGCAAAAGTGTTTACATTTTACTTTAAGGGAAATAGAATTGTAATAATTTTAATCCTGTTCACCACTGTGGAGGTGAAAATGAGATATGGCTTCAGCACAATTTGATGTGCAAAACCACTCACACATTGCTAATATGCAAGCTGCTTGACTGTGAGAAGAGTTGTTCCATGTCCAGGAAAGAAACTGATTGTGAGGTGTCTTTTCTAAGGCCAATAGGTGCATTCAAATCAAGAAATGTTAGAGAACCCAGGTCTTCAGTTCTTGTATTCCAGTTTTTTGGTATTGTGAATATTTTCTTTTTATGTTTCAGTATTCAGCCCAGCCTGTTAATAGACTTATCTCAACCTTTTGGATAACTTTGCCAGACACAACTTCCTTCCCGGACTGACCTGGCCTGGACACCCACCATGCACAATTGCACCGCCGAAATTCCGCACGCTGCTGAGACGCATAGCGAGACTTGGTCCAGCCAGGCGCCGAGCTCGGAGTTCTCCCTGGGTGTGTTGGCACTGCTGGCTTTCCTCATGGTGTTGCTGTGTCTGGTGACCATCCTTGGCAACATGCTGGTGATCCTTGCTTTCATTATGGACAGGAACCTGAGGCATCGGAGTAACTATTTCTTTCTGAATCTTGCTGTTTCTGACTTTGCAGTGGGTAAGTGAGAGCTGTGGAGCCCTGTGCTAATTGTGTAGTAGGACTCTTAAGAGAAGCACTGGTGTTTATTTTCTGTGTGTTTTCTTCTGAGAGAACTATTTCCCAGCTGTGTTTGGGGGAAGGATGGGGAATGGTGCAAGCTCCATGAAGTATTTTAATTGCCCAATATATCTCAAAGTATGTTATAATGAGAAATGCATTCTTTTTCGTGCAAATACTTCTAATGTTGCTTCAAAAAAAAGTAGTGACTATTACATGTGAATACTTCTTGAAGGGGTTGTTTACTGCAGTTTATGATTTACCCTTGTCTTTCCAAATATAAGGTGTTTATCCACACACTTCAGAACAGGTGACATATATTTGGCAGCTATGTGTGATACATCCACGTAAATGAATTACTTCTCTACATAGTACAAATGGTTTATGAATGTTATTACACTACAGCAAGACACTTTATCACCCTGAGTTTTTACTGGCTTCAGCTTAACACAGGCTATTGATCTGATGAGTTGTTTGATACCAGTTTGACCCCTGCTGGCATCCCTCATCTATATTCCTAATTGGTCCCCTCTTCCCATAGTGTCACTGGAGAACTCCGGGAGAGTTTGTTGCTGGAGCTGCCATGGATCCAGTCCTGGCTGGTGATGCCAAGTGAGGTGATGGTGGAGTGAACGCCTTTTGCAGCACTCCTCCATGGCTGAAGCCAGGGAAACAGCCCATGTGGCAGAGAAATCCTGACAATACCATAGTTCTGTGGCAGATGTGCCAGCAAATGTCTTGACTTGAGGCTGGCAAGGAGGTACTTCTGCACACAAAGGCTTTTTCTTCAGGATGGTCACAGAGTATGCACTGAACTGTGAGAAAGGAAATCGTGGCCACAGACCTACTGCACTTCTGACAATACCATCCCCCCAAAATGCTGTTCCTTCGTCAGTGCTGTGTAGGCATGTGTATTATTTAGCCTTTAAGGTTTTCCTTCATTTACACCATTTATAACATGTGCTGCCTTATTCTGAGACTTGCCCCATGGAGCAGAAAATGAAGCCTTTGCTTTCCTGCTAAGGCAGACAATTTGCTGGAGCTGCTACTTCATTGTTCAGGTTGTGTGCAAAAGTCTGTTTCTCCTCCTATCTCAAAGTTTAATAAGAGAATTAAATATCTGCCTTCAGCATCTGTTCTTTGTGGCTGGTGCCTCATGCATTCTTAAGTCAGCCAAGAGGAAATGATTGCCATCAGTATTAGATTAGCCTATACAGACTGTAAATTTAAATTTTTGTCTCTGATATTGGTCGGGAAATGCTTTATTTTCTGAAATTGCTGTGTTTTTTTTTTTAATTTATGAAAAGTCTGGAATATTTATGGGGATGTGACTCATGTCTTTTGCATGAACCAATTAGTAAAAGTAAGAAGAGCTTCAAATATCAATGCTTAAAACCTGGGGTTTGCCTCTATATTTATATGTATAGCTAAAAGCAGTCATTACTTTTTGACATGGTGCCAAACATTGATCCCATTGAAGTTTGTGAGAACATTAGCAGTTATCAGCAAACATGAAAAATGAGTATTTAGTACCAGAGTGATGCTGCTGGTATTTAAGGAATATGTTAAAATAAGCCATCAGAATTGAAAGTGCTGTGAGCATTTCCCTGTTGATAACAGTCTGACAGCTCATTGCCCAGAGTTTTATTGTCAGTGGACCACATCACCCTGGATATATTTAGTAACTTCTAAGATCTTGATGGGCTTGTCAAGAAAGGAGTAATCTGGAGAGTTTTAAATAGAACTTGATGCAATGTATAATTTTCTATTTGCCTCTGGTAGTTCAGCATTTTCAGGAATGTAGAATCAGCTATTGCACCACACTTTTGAAAGAATGTTACTGTTAAAATGAAGAAGTTGCTGGCTTAAAAATAAAACACAAATATTGTTTTCTTAATTAGGAACTTCAGTGGAAGTTCTTTTGGACAAAACACAAATTTAACAAACCAAAATAGTTCTGGAGTTATTGTCAGGTGAAGAAGAACATGAGATTAAAACACTCCTTAAAAGTGAGAGTTTCATACTTCTGCTGTGTCTGCTCTATCTCTGGTAGAATGCCACACAATATATTGTGTTCAGTTTACAAATGCTGACCAATTTTACAGGAATAACTGCCATTCGCAACATCTGCAGATGTGTTTGAGGCAAAATTCTAATACAGATGACAGAATAGAGGAAATAAAATGATGAGGTTACCTATCAGAATGCAACCACTGTGCATATATGCTGCAGCACTAATTTTATACCTTTAGAGAGTCTGAATTGGTTAAACTTGGATTTTCGTCCTCAGTAAATCCTTCTTTGCTGAATTGTTTTCAGCTTATTCTCAACAACCAGCATACATAAATCGCACTAAGGTCTAAAACATAGAAAGTCACCATCAGATTTCATGAGAATTTAAGAATGTATGTATATAAATTACATACTCACCTTAATAGATTTGTTGATTTTTTTTACTCAAATACCAAAAGAGTGTGTCTCTCTGCTTCCAAGAGTTTGCGATCCCTGTGAACCTCATGGTGTTTTTGTTGTTGCTGTCTGCAGGTGTGTTCTGCATGCCCCTCTACATCCCTTACAGCCTGACAGGGACGTGGCACTTGGGAAGAGGCATCTGCAAGCTCTGGCTGGTCATGGACTATCTCCTCTGCACAGCTTCAGGGTTTAACATTGTTCTTATCAGCTATGACCGTTTCCTGTCAGTCACTAAAGCTGTAAGTAACCTGTTTAGCGCTTCTCTGATTTTTTCCCTTGGATGGTTATATTCACCAGCCTCTGCCATGTTGATGAGTATAAGCTCAAATTTAATGAAGATAATACCCCTCAAAAATATACTAGCATGTGGTGATTATTAGATATTTTGCAGCCAGATGGGGTGAATATTCTACATTGGGCATGCTTCACTGCAGAGCCAGTCAACCAGGAGTTTTCTCACAATTTCTGCTGCAAGCTGCTCTTGTGTTATTGCCTGAGGAAAAACAGTCTAGGGGGTAAAAAGGGTAAGGCAGCTGACTGGTAAAAAAGGGGCAGGGAAAGAGGAAATTCAGAGTAGACTGGATTGGCGTTTGGACCTAAAATCAGGCATGAAAGTTAAATACAGTGGATCTAGGGCAGTAAAATAAAGGATACTGGGGAGGGTGTCTAGACCTGAGAGGTGGTCAAAACTTATTCTAATAAGACCAGGAGCAAGAGCAAACAGGCAGAAAGTGGAACAAAGGGAAGACTGCAATCACTGCCTCTAGATATGCAGCAATAAACTCCTCTTTGTGTCTGGAGCAGAATCCCAAACTTCAGACACGTTCTGTCTCTGCTTTCTGCAGAGAATCCTACATGCCTGCTGTGAGCTTTATGTCTTGGGCCATGCTGGGGTGGAGGCCAGCATTTCTCACCAGCCACTGTTAGCTCAGGAGGCAGGGAATGTCACAGAGAACTAAAGGTTCCAGCCCTTTTGTGTGTATGAGACTGTCAACATAACTTCATGCAATAGAATTTCAGTCTTATTTGTGATAATAATTTAACTTCCTATAATTGCCTTCTTATTTTATTTCATTATTCTGTTTTATTTCATTTATTCTGTTTTATTTCATTATTCTGTTTTATTTTATTGTTGGAAAACAAACACCAGAGTTTTTGGTGTGTAAGAAACCTTTGGCTGGAAAGCCATAGACAGCATTTACAAATTGCAAAATTCAGAGCACCTTATCAAATACAATTAAGACCTGTGGACATTTGTATGATAGTTCTAGTGACATTAACTCAAACTTTTGTTATCAATTGGATGTCTGAGCTTGCAGAATTACACATTTGTCCTGTGAAAGGGGTGAAGCAGGATGTGAGCCACATTGTATCTATAAATTCTGCAACATATAGTAAAAAATATGTACTGGCCCTGGAGTGGACGTAGAATGAAGAAAATGGGTGATTTTTTTAGTTTCATCAGCTAAGGGCTGTGGTGCAGGTGTGGTATCTATTCCTTCATCCTTATGAATTGTCTAGCAAGTAATTTTCTTATAGGTTGAATCTGTGTGTCACCTTTTCTGTTAAGCACCATGATGCATAAAGTTATTTGTTTGTAAAATGCTGTAAAAAGCAGTGCAGTTTCCAGTGAGTGGGAGTCATGCTCACAACAGCTATAAAATGCTAATTCCTCTGGCACTTCAGACCATATGTATGCCAAACAAGGCATACCAAATTGCTAGGCATTGATGGATGATTGGGTTTTATCCCACGGACCTGGACCCTGACAATGTTGGGACTCTAATATTACAGTGACATTGACTTGTAGAGAGACAGCCCTATGCTCTGTCAGCATCAATGAAATAAATGTGCTTGGGGGACCTTCATCTGAGCAGCACAGCCACATCTCTGTATTACCAAGCACCTCTTGAGTTTGTCTCCATCTGCTTCTCTTGGTCCCAAAATGGGTCTCTACAAGTCTGAACTTTTAATGTATTTTCCCCTCACAGGTATCTTACAGAGCCCAGCAGAGAATAACATCCAACCCTACCATTGAGATGGTGGCCATCTGGCTACTTGCTTTCCTCATGTACGGCCCAGCCATCCTGTTTTGGGAGCACGTGGCTGGACACAGCGTGGTGCCTGTGGATCAGTGCTACGCCGAGTTCTTCCACAACTGGTAC